ATTATAAATACGCCACAAGGTGTGGGCTCTTCATAGACTTGAGAGGGATTTAAGAGAGATTCAAGATAACAATTCGATCAATGTATATATATATATATATTAGAAATTTGAGAGAATTGTTTAGATTTAGATAGAGATAATCAAATATTGAAAAAACAATTTTAGTTACTTGGTATAATAAATTCTCATCTTCCACAAAAATCTTGGTTGTTGTGTGATCCATTATTTTTCAAATTGCTCATATTTTTCTCGTCTTTATTATTTGGCTGGTTTCTTATACAGTAGTATTATAACAATTCTGGTATCTTAGTTGATTCAACAAGTGGTATCAAAGCTAAAGTTTTTTTGCGGGTTCTTGAAAGGTCCCAATTGGTTATTAAAGCGAGTTTTGAGCAATGTCGATTATTTCAAAGATGACAATTATGAAATTTGATATTCTGCTTTTGGATCGCAACAGTATAATTTCTTTGTGGCAAATCAAGATGTGAGAGGTTCTTGCTTAATTGGATCTCAATGATGTTTTGTTGGGAATAGATAGAATGCTCGCAACAATGAGTGCAGAGGAGAAGCAATGAAAGGATCGGAAAGCCCTATCGCAGATACATCTTCATCTTTCAAATCAAAATTTTCAGAATGTTGTAAAGAAGAAAAGTGCTACTGAGTTATGATTAAAATTGGAGCAGCTTTATATGACAAAGAATTTGACAAGCACTTGAAGCAGCGTTTGTATTCTCATTGCTTGATAGAAGGTGGATCTTTGGAAGATCATCTATCGGTGTTCAAAGAAATTGTCGCTGATTTGGAGACCATGGAGAACAAATATGATGAAGAAGATTTAGGATTGATATTTTTATGTTCGTTGTTGCCTTCATATGTGACTTTTAGAGATACAATTCTCTCTATTCGGGATATTATTACTATTGACAAGGTATATGATGCTCTTTATTCTAAGGAAAAGATGAAGCATCTGGTTGTCAGTTATGAGGTCCGGGCAGAGGGTCTCGTTGTTCGTGAGAGGAAGACAGGTGGGCGTGGAAGAGGCAGAGAGTCAAGGATAGCAACAGTGAAAAAGTCTGCTGGTACTGTAACAATAAGGGGCACATGAAGAAGGATTTCTATGAGTGGCAGAACATGTTTGCCACTAGAAGTCCAAAGGAACAATCAGAAAATTTTGATAATGTCAGTCTTGCAAAAAAGACATCGATGGAGATCTTTTAGTGATTATTGAAGGTTACTCTAAACCTAATGAGGATTTGATGTTTATTCGACTTGCACTTTTCATATATGTTCAAATCAGGATTGATTTTCTTCATATGAAATAGTTACAAAGGGTTCCGTGATGATGAAAAATAATGATCCATGTAAAATATCAGGGGTTGGTAATGTCAAAATCAAGATGTTTGATGGGACGGTTAGAACACTTGGCCATGTTTGACATGTTCCAGGTATAAATAAGAATTTAATCTTTTTGAGCACTCTTGATTCAAATGGAAACATGTATACCGGTGGAGGTGGAGTTATGAAATTTAGCAAGGGTGCTCAAGTTGTGTTAAGGAGATGGAGAAAGTCCCGGTTATGTGTTAGAAGGTTCGCAGTTACTATGGATGCAGTTGTGGCTTATAATTCAGTAAGCAATAATTCGGACAGAGTTGGTTGTGATCGGGTTGTTCGAGGTTATTTGAACAATGATATTGGGGAATCTTCCAGTAGTCAGGTGGAGCTTGATATGATCTTGTTGATCATATTGGTTGTGGTGATTCAAGTAGATTTAGCGACTCGGGTGAGTTATTCATGCAAGTTTATTGACTCGGTTGGAGTTGGAAGTGAAGGAGATGATTCATACAAGGAGCGCAAGGTAGTTCTGCGAGTAAGTAGGGCTTGAATTTAGTTTGTAGTTGCTGAGTATGCCCGACAAGGACATGGTGTGCCCAGGAGGGGCATGGGGTGTCCCGAAGGGGCATGGTGGAAGAGTTGGAGAATAAAAAGTGAAAACTTAATTCCTTGCTATGAAATTTGTGCTAAGGTAGAGTTTTTTATGTTTTATGACTCAAATTCCATGTGATTTGGATGTTTGATTCATGGAGGAGGTTTAAATAATTTTGGTTTAGAAGTTTAGTTTGTTAAGGAATCAAATCTCAAAATGGATTGGGAGTTTGATTGTGATAAGAACTTTGGAATGGATCACGAAGTGTTTTGAACACATTAGGACAGAATCGGGAGGCGTCGGAGCACCGGGATGTGGCGCCACGACGTCAGTAGCGCGAAGAAGAACAGAATGGCAGGAGCTGCCCATGCGACGACAATTTTAATCCTGTTTGGTTTCTTACACGGTTTTGTATTCTACATCTTCCATAACTTCAAGATTTGACTATTGTAAATACTTCACAAAGTGTAGGCTCTTCATAGATTTAAAAAGAACTTAAGAGAGACTCAAGATAACAATTAAATTATTATTGTATACATTAAAAATTTGAGAGAATTGTTTAGATTTAGATAAAGAGAGTCAAATCTTGTAAAGATAATTTTAGTTTCTTAGTATAATAAATTATCTTCTTCCACAAAAATCTTAGTTGTTGTGGGACCCATTATTTTTCAAATTGCTCATATTTTTCTTGTCTTTATTATTTGGCCGATTTCTCAACAATTGGTATCAGTGCAATTCTGGTATTTTGGCTGGTTCTTAACAAATAAGTAAGTATCGAGTTGTAAATTGTGATATCTACCAAATGAGTCGATTAACAAACTTGAAAATGAAACATCCAACTGAATCACAATAACTTACATTCGTAGCTAGCGACCTCAATTTGCTACAAAAACTTTTGTTAGAATTTGAGTGTGACCTGATTTCTTTGTTGAAGATAATTTGGAGTTTTAATTAAAGTGCACATTAAGAAGAATCCTCTTTGAAATACTATTTATAAGTTCATTAGGAGTAGAAAATTGTGTTAAACTTGAAGAGAACTTTAGAAAGAAGAAACACACTTGGAAGGTTTTTGGACGGAGACAGCACATTGCCTCGTAAAATTAAGCAGAAGAGCCAGAGCCGGTGCATCTTGCGCCACCCTACCTATTTCGCCCATGCATGATTTTTCTATTCTATTCCATTTTTTATATTCTACTTCAATTACAACTCTCCTATGAGAGTTTAAATGTCTCGTAGTTGTTTTCTATATATAATTGACTCTTCATTATGATCTAATAAAAAATTAAAAATATTGTAAACACATAATCTTTGTATTCTTTCTCCATATTATAATAAAATCTTCATTTTTGCAAATTAACATTTTTCTTGTGTTCTTGTGATATTTACTTCATATCATTGCAGTATCATCTTCCGTGTTTCACAACTTCAATGATCATAACTATTATAATTTAAATCCAAAGGTGAATGAATATATTAACATAGCCAAGCAATAAAAAAATATTTAGAAAGGATGAGATGTGTCTTTTGAACTTCAATAGGGATTGTGACTACTTTTCTTCGTCAGTTTCTTGCTTCTTCAACAAAGACCTGTCAGTTTGGACGCTGCTTTCATATCCACTACTGTCACCTGGTTCCATGATGTGTTTCTCTACTACCCTCTCATTGAGGCTGTCACGATGTGATCGACCATGTTCTCTTCCAGCTCTGCGGTCCTGTAATCAGTAGTTCGATAGAACAAAAAAAAGTTTCAATGACCTCACCAGCTAAGAAATGCTGATTTGCAGGACAAAAATTAACATTTCAATATCTGATCATATATATTCAATGGAAAGCTATATAGTTGATTCAATAATATAATTGGGCTCTATATGCATCAATCTTCTCAAATACCTTATTAGACATAACTGGAAAGAGTACACGGATCATTATCAACTTGCAGTCGTCTAATCAAAATATTCCAACTCACATTTTCCAAAGATAAAGAGGACAAGGAATTGGTTCATTCAATTCACTCTCCCAGTTTTTGATTCTTTAGATGCTCAAGAATGGGGGAAGAACTTCAAACAGAAGAAAACATTTGTAATGTAGTTGATACTGACTTAATACACAGCTATGATGTCATAGGAGTTGCAACTCATTAATACTGAAATATGAACAAGTTGAGATCAATTTATGAACAGTTTATAAGAAGCGGAAAGTTTAACAAGCGAGAATGCAGGAGAAGAATACATGAAGGTGAAGATACAAATACACAATGTCATGTGCATATAGCTGTTTCCAGCAAGAAGATGGGATGCACGTTAAATTCCACAACTTTACTAAATAGAGGATTTTTAACTTACATCACGGAAAGGAAAATCGTCACTCTCAAGCATGTGTACCACATGTCCCATCTTTGGCCTCTTCTGGGCGTTTGGGTCTACACAGCGTAAAGCTACTAACAGGGCACGTTTCAATGCCCTTGAAGAAGGCTTCTCAGATAACTTGGGGTCCAAAACTCCCTCTGCATTCCGGTTCGAAACCATTGTTTTAAGCCAATCAATCAGATTCACCTGAGGTTTTTAGCTTTTGTTTAAAACCAGAAAGACCTTATAAATCATTGAAGAAACTTAAATATCGATCCACAAAAAGAAGCAATCAAGAATACTGCATACATACCTCCCCTGGGGGACGGCTGTAATCCACCGGGTTCCTCGCAGTAATGATTTCCATTATAAGAATCCCAAAACTATAAACGTCGCTTCTCTCATTCAACATGCCAGTGCTAGCATACTCTGGAGCCACATAACTATAAAACAGAGAAGAAAATTCAGTAATCAATATCGTTTGGTTAATGGTAGAAATAAAAGCCACAAAGTATGCCCACAAATTTGATTTACCCAAACGTTCCCATAACTCGAGTGGTAATATAACTCCTCTCTGAGCCCAAGAGCTTTGCCAGGCCGAAGTCAGATACTTTAGAGTTCCATTGTTTGTCCAATAGAATGTTGCTTGATTTAATATCACGGTGAACGACCTTAGGTTCAAGCCCCTCGTGCAGATAGGTCAGTCTAAGATATTCACCAAGTTTTAGTTATACCAACTAAA